CTGAAAAGACAATAAAAATAACAAGCAACATTATTATAATTAGTGATAATAAATAGATAACTTACCAAGTTTGGTATGGTTGACATTCTCTTCTCAATCTAGAGAGTTATAGGATATTTTAGAAAATGAGGGACGGTGAATGTGGTGAGCCAGGGACCAAAGCTTCAGGAAAATTGGAAAACTGCCTTTAGGATCAAGGTGTCAAATATGCTGCTGTGGGCTACATGCTGCCCACAACACTCCTGAGAGCAGCCCAAACCAGATTAAAATGTGACTGGGAAATATTTAACAAAATAAATGAAAAGATAATACAACCTAGATAATGTTAATTTATGGTTTTCTAAGTCTACGTGTGGCCTTCAGAGATCTTCCTCCATTGGAATTTTTAACCCCTACTTCAGATTTCAGCATGATCCTCATTGAATTCTGTGCTGAAATCACTTTATATGTTTAAAATTCATTTTTAAATGTTGAAATGCATTTTTCTTTTTTTTTGAAATGCATTTTTTAAAGTTATGTTTTGATAAGCAGACATATTGTAACTTCAAGTCCTCTGAAGAAAAAAATTTTAATATCAGAAAGCAGAGATAAGGGCAGAAACATAGTTTAGAGCTGGAAGAGACCTCTGGGTTAATTTATACTCCCAAATTTTCTCAGTGATAGAACCAATGTCCAGACAGTCAATTCTTCCCTATGAAGAGATAGCTAGGTGACTCAATGGATAGAGAAATTAGACTTAGAGTCAGCAAGATGTGAGTTCAAACTCTGCCTCAGTCACTTACTAGCTGTGTGACCCTGGGCAAGTCACTTGACCTCTGACTGCTTCCGTTTCTTTATGTGTAAAATAAAGATAATGATAACACCTTCCTGCTAGGGTTGTCGCAAGAATAATATGACATAATATTTGTAAAGCACTTTGCAAACCTTAAAGTACTATTTAAATGTATAATTATTATGAAGGAGTTTGGGAAAGATGAGTTCTATATATAGTCTGAATTGGAACTCAGAACGCTTCCCCGCCATCCACTCCATGCAAACAATCTAATGTCTACAGTGGTGGCTTTCTGTAATCAAAAGAGTATTATTTATAGGTTTGGGAAGGAATTTTAGGGATCACTTAGTCTAATCTTCTATTTATATATTTCTATATATTATTATTATATAATACCTTATAGAATATTCTATATATCTATATATTCTACATATAAATATATATATTTATATTTTTGTATTTATAGAAAATTGACATCCACATAGTTTGACCATGTAATTTGGCCTTTGTTAACAATTAGTAAGCAGCAGAGATAGGACATGAACACATTTTTTTCTGACTCCTGATCCATTTTAGTACATTGTTTCTATGAATACTTAAGCTACATCATGGGCTAATTTTTTTTTTAGTGGGCTAGGAACCTAACTATGGTTTATAGTATTATTTCTTTGGGAACGTACATCTTGAATTCCAAACAACTGATTTAGGAATTAATTTTTGGAAACCTGTTCATTACTTGGGGAGGCCTGTATTGTGTTGTATTTTTCTTTTTAAAATGAAGTGAATAAAGCATAGCCTATGGGGGTAAGCCAAGTAAAATAACTGTAATCTGCACAAATGACATTTATAGTGCAAGGTATTAAAACCTAAGGGCCTAGATGGCAAGGACTATTTCTGTTAAGATTACTTTGTAGTGCCCAGAATTATACACTTAGGGATTTTAAATATTCTTCAGTAACAATGATAATTGGCAGAGCTGGGGATTTAAAAAAATTATTTATTTAGTATTTCATTTTTTCCACAATTACATGTAAAAACAATTTTCAACATTCATCTGAAAAATTTTGAGTTCCAAATTCTCTCTCTCCCTCCCCATTCCCCTCACTGAGAAGGCAAGCAATTCGATATGTTATACATATATAGTCATGCAAAACATATTTCCATATTAGTTGTATTGTAAAAGAAAACATAGACAAAAAAAAATCCCAAGAAAATTAAAGAAAGTTTAAAAAGTATGCTTTGATCTGTACTCAGACTCTATCAGTTCTTTCTCTGGGTATGTAGAGCATTTTTCATCATAAGTCCTTCAGAATTGTCCTGGATCGTTGTATTGCTGAGAATAGCTAAGTCATTCACAATTGATCACTGTACAATATTTCTGTTACTGTGTACAACGTCCTCCAGGTTTTAAGAGCTGAGGATTTTTCATTAAAAATTGTTGGGTTGGATGGCTATTTTGTGAATACCTAGTGCCTTTGTTAACAATTAACTTGTGTAGTTAGAGCAACTTCTAAATAAGACTGTAAAGACCTCGCTACATATACTAATTTTCCCCTAAAAAGGCCATGAAGTTATTCCTTGAAATTGAGTTCCAGGAAACTGAGCCTCACATTATTCATGTAGCTTTCTGATCCTGTGCATGAAAAACTCAGCTCATGAGTAGTAACCATTTCTCAGGCACAAGAAACTCCATGTTGCCATTCAAGTCAAAGTACCCTTCTCACGGCAAATATAAAGGTAAGGGTAGCATTGAACCAGTGCAATATCCTTGCTGAATACCCTTTCCGCGCTATTGTTAAGTAAGAACAACATGGTTATAGTAACAACGTAGCATATGTTGTTACCTTATAGTGGTATGTATATGTTAACAACACATGTTGTTAGCTTATAATTATATGTATATGTTATCAACATATGTATATGTTGTTTTACTATAACCATATTGTTGCCAAACATAATCAAAATGTTGCCATTTTTAAAAACCATATGTTGTTGTGGATGTTACCGTAATAGCATATGGTAACAAAATGGTAACATGCCAAACGTTCTGTGTTTTATGAGTTTTTTCATTTGTTCCACCAGACTTGTCTGAAATATTCTACTAGGCGCATGGAAGTACTCCTTCCTACTGAGGAACTACAGCCTCTTATTAGAAAATTGGTGGCAGCCTTAGAACAGTCTGCTTCTAAACCAATAGACATTTTACCTACTCCCTCTTTTCATTTTTCTCCTAGCTTACACATTGGCTGAGACCTGTCCCAGACATCTATCTGACTTAAAGTTAGAAAGAGCTTATATTTCCTATTTAACTCTCTTTGGTCATCCCATGCCCTAAAAATCTATTTCTAGATACTCTGCTAAAGAAGCCATGGAGGAGCAGTGTGGAAACTGAGGCTATAAAACTACTTTCACTCTCATGATGTGGGAGTGAAAGTAGTTTCTTGTAGTGTTTAGCTCTCCTTATCTTATCTACTCTGTTATCTGGTAGGTTAGGTATTGCTCCCAGCTTTGTGTCATCTGAAAATTTGATAAGCATGGCTCATAAAAAATATGAAATAGTACAAGCTAAATACAGATTCCTGGAATACTCCACTGGAGACCTCTTTTCAAGATGACCTTGAATCATCAGTGACTTCTCTTTTGGACCAACCATTGAAGCAGTTTTGAGTCCAATTAACTATACTATCATCATGTAGCCTAAATCTTTCCATCGTAGTTAGCATTAAGAATGGCATGAAGAGTTGTTAAATGTTTCATTAAGATACAAGAAAATTATATCTGTAGCATTTCTTGACCTACTCAGTTATTAAGCCTGTTTTAAAAAGAAAAAAAAGGAAATTAAATTAGTCTGACATGATTTGTTCTTGATGAAATCATGCTAGCTCTTTGTGATCATTGCTTTTTTTTTCCTTCTAAGTGTTCAGTAACCATTTCTTTAATTATTCCTTTGTACGAGTACAGTGAAGTTTTGCACAGGCCAGAACCAATGATGGATCAATAAAATAAAGCCAGAAATACGTGACAGGAGGCTGCAGGACAATGACCATTTGTTTAGTTTTTTTTTTAATATAGCTTGGATTCATTGCATACCGACATGGAGACCACCTTGTGAATGAAAGCTGTTTCATAGTTCCAGCTTCCAAACAGCTCCACTGTGGCTTCTTTAGCAGAGCACTCTAAAATGAGTTTTTAGGGCATAGGATGTCTGAAGGGGTTTAAACAAGAAATACAAGTTATTTCTAACCTTAAGTCAGATAGTCGCATGGGAAAGTGAACTTCAATACAGCAGCAGACACAGACGGTCCAAAGAATACACTTAATCTTAACTTAAAGATATTATTTTTTGACTTTTACTTGGCATAGTTCAGCATGGTAGGAGAATCAAAATCCATTGTTTGAAACAATTATCTGATTTGGAATTAGAAATTCCTTCTACCTCTTGTGTGTACTCTGAGCCCTTAATTTTTTTTTCTTTTCCAGGAAAACAATTCAAGCTTATTGTGCTATAGCTCCCCCCCCATAGTTCTATTCTGTTCCCTCTTTTTGAAAATTGAGAAAATATTTGCTCTTAAGTTCTGTGATCTCTCTCCCATGCTCCATACATATTAAAAGATCGCTGATGATAATCATTTCAATCACATTCTCTAGTTCTTTCAGTTACTTGGAATGCAATACGAAACTTTTAACCCATCTGGTGACCTCACCAGATGTGACTGGTGACATGAACTCATCAAGGGCATCATCAAGGTGTTGTCTTACTATCTCCCTACTCATCTTAGGCACTAACTGTTTGTCAACCACTTTTTTGGAATCGTTTTGAAAACCATCATTTTCCTTGTCAGGGAAAACAGAAACAAAATAAGATTTGGATAATTCCACCTTTTCCTTACATCCTCTGCTATTACATTCCCATTCACTTCAATTTGTGATCCTACTGCTTCTTTGATCTTTCTTTCTCTCTTTCCAAGTAAAGCTAAAAACCCAAACAAAAGAAAACATACTTTTGTTGTCCTTAGTTTTCTTTGCCATCCTCAGCTCATTCTGATTTTAGCACTAATAATACTATTCTAACATGATGGTATCACACTTTTACATTCATTCTCCATTAGTTGCCCCTGTTCCTTTCTTTGCTACATGTCTTTTTAAATTCTCAAATAGGATGGGGCAGGTGGGTGATGCAGTGGATAGAGCACTTGCCCTGGAGTCAGGAGGACCTGAGTTCAAATCTAGTCTCAGACATTTACTAGCTCTGTGACTTTGGGCAAGTCACTTAATCCCAATTGCCTCTTAATAAAAAAAGATCTTAAATTGCTTGATGAATTCCCTATATATCCACATCAGTCTTTTAAAACAGTTTCCACTTTTCTCCTTCAGAATTGTTTCTCTTTTTGTCTTTAAGATTTAATTTAATTTAAATTAATTAATTTAATTTAAGAATTTACTTGTTGAAAGCCTTTGATCTGTCTTGATGTGTTTTCTCTTATAAAATTTAATCTTGTGATATTACCTATGCTTTCTCCAAGCTAGTTAAAATATACTTTCTTAAATTCAGGGTCCACATCAGACTATTACTAGTTTTCATCTTCTCTATCAAAAATTCTAAAATGGAGTCATTACTTCACTCCAAGATGCCTATTGTTTCTACCCCAGCAACCAATTCCACCTTGCTGATGAGAATTAGAAATGGAATAGAATTGGTACTCATTGACTCTTCTACTTTTTGAAGGATGAAGCTATCAAGATAGTAAGTCAAAAGTTTATTAGTTGCTCTGCTTTTGGCAGAGAGAAAGCTTCAGCAGATATCCAGAGAATTGAAGTCGCTCATCACTTCCATATCTTGCTAACATTCCAGTGTGATTTCTTTCCTAAATTTCTCATCTATTTCCCCTTTTTGTCTGTAGTATACTCAGATGACTAACTCAAATATGTCCTATATGATATATTATATATTTCTGTTCTAGTTATCTTCACTCAAATGTTCTCCACCATGTTGCTCCCCTCCCCCCACCCCACCTCCAGATTCCTGAATTTCCTCAAAGGAGCATTTCTTCTTCATGTACAGTGCTATTGCATCCCTCCCCCACCCTGGTCTAGTATCCAGTTTGATATACACTTTTGGAGTGTTTTAAAGCCTTTTTGATGAAATTTATAAAACTTCAGGCAAATACATTCCTTTTGAGGTTAGAGTGTGGGTGTGGGGCAGCCTTTACTTTTCCCACCAAAGTAAATGCATGAGCTGCAAAGGAAACACTGATCTAAGCCACAGAAACATACTGATAATACATAACATGCTGTAATAGCCCATTAGATGAATTAGCTTTCCCCGAGGATGATGCCTAGAGAAGAGACATAAATATTTCCCATTTACCTCAGACCTTCACCATCTGAACAACTCAGCAATGTTGTGCAAGGTTGGCAAGGCCTAGATCTTCTAGGTCCCTCATGTCATGACCTTATTCTTTAATCTACAGGTCAATCCTCTGCAGACAATCTTCTCTTTCTCTGAGAAACACAGTAGAGGAAATACTCTTCATCTAGGAGGCTGTTGCCCAACTCTCAAGGCTCAGGATCTTCCAAATTCAGGATTATCCAGAAGGTAACTTGGGTAACTCCCAAGGTTGGAAATGTACATTCTCAAGCTGGCTAGTATCTGATGCTCAAGAAAGGAAACAGAAAGGCGTGATAAGACAGACAGGAATGAAATGTCCAAAAATTCCTTTCCCAGGCTTGCCTGAGCAAATGCAGGCCACTTGTCATGTGCTTCTCCTAAAAGTTGACATTTTCTGCTTCTGGCATAGAGCTAAGCTGGGGGAGAGGATGCTATGCTCTGATCTGTATGTCTAAGAGAAGAAGAATACAGGGAAAGGGGAAAAGGGCAAATGCATTCTGACTGGCCCTCATTAGGCACACTCCATCCCTGGCTGGCAGCCCATCTTGGCTATGCTAAAAAATGTATGACCATCACCTTCTCTGTCTGTTCTCAGCATGCCATTGATCCTGAGCCCTGTCCTCTCTCTTACTTGATTCCCTAACATTTGGTTGTCCTGGTGACTCATTGCCAATATCAGCTTCTTCTAGGCATTCTGTAGTGCCCCACCCCTAGTGCCCTTCCAGCATCTATACATATGTCATGAAGGAAGAAGTGTGACTTTCAGGTCATCAAGAATCACCAAGTTTGGGCAAACCTTATAGAGGACAGAGAGAAGAAGCTTGCAATAGTTTTCTAAGAAGTTGCCAGCTTGTAGGTTTTAGGCCTCATACCAGTGTTTTTCTGTGCCTGCTCATGCCCTCCAACTCTGCTACAGAGTCTTCTCACCTAGGGATCCATAACCCTAGCAAGAATTGTGAAGTAGGCAAAGCTGGTCTTCAATTCTCTTCTACCTGAGGCAGCTGGGCGATGTAGTAGATAGAACACTGGACTTAGAGGCAGGAACCCCTAACTTCAAACCCTATCTCAGAAGCTTACTAATTGTGTGACTCTAGACAAGTCATTTAGCCTATCTTAGACTCAGTTTTCCCGTCCGTAAAATCAGCATAAAAAACCTCAGAGATGTTGTGAGGACCAAATGTGATAATGTCATGTGCTTTGAAAACCTTAAAGTAATGTAGAAATTTTTACAATTCTCTTTATTTTGCCATTGTCCCCCCTCTTGGGCCTCCAAGTGTTCAGTACCCAAATTCTGCCTTCTAATCTCTCAAGGCCCTGGACAGTGGCGACCCAACCTCCATTTGCTTTTCATAGAAAAGGACTCTAGAACTTTGTTACCTCCTTTCTCATCCTTAATACTTACCTGTCTTCTGCCTCATGACCTTAGAGCCCTGGTAAGTGTCTGATTAACTTATACACTAGTTCAGTCTGAGGTGTTTGTGACTGAAAAAGCTAATTTCTCTAGTCCTGCTGCACCTCTCTCATTGTTCATGATCTGAAAGGCAATGTTAGCATTTCAAGTGGTGCCTTAATGGCTTAACTCAAAGGACTGGCACTATGGCAAGTCTGGTAATGGAGTTATTTTGTAGCAGGGGTGGAATTTGGTGTCTCTCTTTTCATCTCGCATGGGTGACTTCTATTCTGCCTATGGCTAGAACCAGGTCAACCCTAACTAATGTCTTCAAGTAGGTAAATGCCTAATTCATCTAGAATGGAAAAATCACTAGAAATAAAGATAATACAGTCCCTCTTAGTCACCCATTTCCTCATTTCAGGGTCTTGTTATCCTGATGATAAAATTCTTTCTAAAATCCAGCTGAAATCTCTCCTATTTTCTTCTTGTTTAGTCTTCTCTGAAGTTGGAGAAACTGTCAGATAATTCACTTCATTTAAAAAACAATGAAACCAAAAAACAACCCTTTAGACAATCGGTAATCACTCCAATTTCCTTAACCCTTCCTGTTAATTATCCACGTTCCATTTTTCAGTTTCATTTTCACTTTTCTCTGGACCATCTCCAGGTTGCCCAGCTCCTTTCTGAAATGGAGAAGTTCAGAGTTTCTTTTTTAACTCAGTGTTCTGGGCTGTGTCCTAAGTTTTGTGACTAGAATATTAATGAATGATATCTTGAAATATGTTACTTAGGTTTTGTTTTTATTTTTGGTCACGGATTTCAGGTAATCCTATGATTTTAATTTCTCTCTTGTTGATCTGTTTTCCAGGTAAGTTGCTTTTGATGTGAGATATAATATGATATGAGACATTTTCCTCTATTTTCCCATTTTTTTGAATTTGAATTCTTGTTTCCCTGCTATTGTGCTATAAGAAATGATGAGCAAGTGGGCTTCAGAAAAACCTGTAAAGACTTGTATGGACTGATGCTGAGTGAAATGAGCAGAACCAGGAGAACATTGTACACAGTAACAGCCACATTGTGTAATGAATAACTTTGATAGACTTAGCTCTTCTCAGCAACGTGAGGATCTAAGACAACTCCTAAAGTCTCATGACGGAAAATGCTATCTACATCCAGAGAAAGAACTATAGAGTTGGAATGCAGATCAAAGCATTCTATTTGCTCTTTTTTCCCCCCTCTTCTGTTTTGTTTTATTTCTTCTTTCCTGTGATTCCTCCTATTGGTTCCAATTCTTCTTTATGACATGACTAAAGTGAAAATACGTTTAATAGGAATGTATATGTAGAGCCTATAGCAGATTGCATGCCCTCTTGGGAAGGAAGGTAGAGAGGGAGAGGTAGAAAATTTAAAACTCAAAAGTTTATGGAAGTGAATATTGAAAATGAAAAATAAATTAATTTTTTAAAAGAGTCTCAGCTCCTTGAGGGCAGGCACTGTCTTTCTTTTTGTTTGAATTTTTATTCTTATTGTTTAGTACAATGCTTTGCACACAGTAAGCACTTAATAATAATCTTTTAAAAAAGAAAACAAAAGAAAGTTAACATATTGAGATGATTTGACTTTACAGGGAAGCAATTTCCACAAACTCAATTCAACAAATATTTATTAAAAAGTAATGTGAAGAGTGTCAGAGTGGGTGTAACTGCCCAAGAACTTTTCCTCAGAGCCAAGAAGACCTGGGTTTAAGTCCTGTCTGTGACACATGTTGATTATGTGCCCCTGGGCAAGTTACTCTTGGTCCTCTAAGTAATTTTCCAAGACTATGTTGCCAAGAAGGTGCCAATCTGGATTGGCAGAGGAAGTTTCTTCAGCCAGGAAGTCAGTCAACAAGCACTTATTAAACACTATGCCAGGAATTGTGCTAAGCTCTGGGGATATAAAGAAAGGCAATAACATATCCTCTGACCTTGAAGAGATCACATTTTAATAGGGGAGACAACATGCAAACTCCTATGTATGGATATATACACTATAAATGGGAAGTAATCTCAGAATGAAAGGCAGTAGCGAGGGTGAAGGGTTGGGGGATAGAGGAAGGAACCTGAAGGAGGTGGGATTTGAGCTGAAACTTGAAGGAAGTCGGGGGAAATGGGAGGCAGAGGTGAGGAAGGAGAACATTTTAGGTATGGAGGATAGTCGGTGAAAAGATAAAGCAAACAATCTCAACCAAAAAGATGCCCAGGGCACATCTTTGTTTGGTGTCCCACTCTCCCTCTCTAGCCTCCTTAGAGAGCCCTTTCTTCCTTTCCTTAGCTCTACCATGGTATGTGTGTATATATTTTTGTTAAAATTCAATGAATGTTAAGCCAACTATTTGGTATTAATACAAAATACGTAGTTGATTTATAAGTAAATACCGGCCCTTAATTTGGGTGAGAGCAACATCTAGTGGCCTTGCTATGCTACAGCTGATGGTAGATATAAATTCTCTTCTGGCAGAATTGAGAGATTAATTTTGTAATTAGTGCTATCACTTTTTATTTGGGTTTACTCAAACTCATTGGAGGAGGAAACAAAAAAAGTTTTCCTTCTGGAGAACTCATATCATATCGAATATGGGTCATAGAAACCTGTATGTGTAAGGATGGGGTCTAAACCACCCTATCCCATTTAACATTGATACCTGAAGTAGATGACAAGTCTCAATCAATCAAAGGTCTTAGACTAAGTGCTAAAAGGCCTTTAAACTGAAATGAGGTAGGGAGAGGAAACTTGGCCATACACCAGACAGTTCTAAGTTTGTAGAGAAGAATTAGTTCGAGAGATTGGAGCAGGTGGGCTTTCCAGCACACCCTTGAGGACAAATCTCCTGCAAAGGAAGGAGAGACTCTGGCTTCATCCTTGACCAGGCTTCCTGGGCCCCTCCCTCTATTCTTTTGAGGTTCCTCCCCCAACCCTCCTGTCTTTGGCCAGAAGAGCAGAAGAATACCTTTCGAATTTTAAAATGTCTGGAAGATTTTAGATTTATCATCTTCCCATCAATGTTTGAGCAGCATCTCTTGATCAGCTGGCAGCAGCTCTGCCTCAGGAGCCATGACAGCTGTTAATTTACATTGCTTTAAGAGAAAGCTTCTTCAGCATCCCATAAATAGTAGAAAAGTAGCAACCAGAAGCTGTGAGTTACACTTTGGCCACATTGGCTTTCTAAGCATGAGCACACAGTCTCCTGATCTCTGTATATACTTGTGGGAGAATGGGTCATAGCCTTTTTTCTGGAGGGGAGGATGTTTTATAACAATTCTTCTTAATATATCACCTTAGTAAGTAAAAGCAACCCTTTCTAAAAGTTCCTTAAAGCTGGTTGACTAAATGATTCTCAACTGATAATCTTAGGAGAAGCACAGGAGTTGGGGGCTTGAATTGATTGCATTAGAGAGCTATCCATGACCCTTTAGGGGCATCCCCTGCCAGACTCCTGCAGGGGAGATGTAGCAAACTCTGGGGACTCAACTAGTCAGTGAGAATTGGGATAAAGATATAATTGTAGGATCAGACAACGTCCTTAAGTGTCCTCATAATGTTACTTTGAAAGGGATTGCCTTTGCATCACTCAGACGGTGCCTTAGAGAAGAAGGAAATGGGTCATTTGTAACATTACTATGCATTGGCATAAGGTCCATTTTGCAGACTCAACTTGCAAGATTTTTTTTTTCACCTTTCACCTTTCATAACTTATGTAGCCATAAACTGTCAGTAAATATTTTGATGCAATGGGGCATCAGACCTACGTCAAAGGTATGCTCAACAGAGAGAAATCAGCACATTTTCCATTTGTTATCACTTTTAAAATCTCAAATGCTATTAAAAAAAATTGTTGAGCACCTAGAAAGCACAAGGCATCGAGTCAACTCTTACCGAATATGGGCCGCAGTGAATGTTGGTGATCGAGTAGGGCCAGGAGCATGAAGGCAAGGTTGGGAGAGCAGCCTTATCACACACAGCAAGGAAGGCAGGAATGCTGATCTGATAGGCAAAACACATCTGTTATAGTAGTTTTGAAGTCTCCATCAACCTTTCTCCTATTAAAAAGCTTTTATGTAGTTTGGATAAAGAAAAACCTGTTGTCAAAAGGAGGTTTATAGACTGTTAATACTTTGTATTGTTTGTTAATTATTGTTAATTACAAATTAACCAGGACATTCTTGGAGACAGGATGACCCGGGTTTGAATCCTACCTCAGAAACTTACCTTCAATCACTTAAGCTTGATTTTCCTAATCTATAAAATAAGGGGGCTGGGATCAATGACTACTCTCAGGCCCCTTCTAACGGTAAATCTATGATTTTATGAAAGATTGCTTCAAATCCCTAGTAGTAAGAGAAATGCAAATTAAATTTAAAAATCACCTCTCTGTTTTCACCTCATACCAAGCAAGTTAGCAATCATGATACAAAACAGCAGTCGTCAGTGTAGGAGCCATTATGAGAAGGTACCTTGATACTCTTCTGTGAAGCTGTAAATTGGTCTAACTATTCTGGGAAGCAATTTTTAAAAAAAATTTATTTATTTTTAGTTTTCGGACATTCACTTTTATAAGATTTTGAGTTCCCAAAATTTCCCACTCCCCTCCCCCCTCTCCAAGACAGCAAATAATCTGATATAGGATATACATGGGCAATCATGTTAAACAAATCTCCACATTAGTCATGTTATGAAAGAAGAATCAGAACAAAAGGAAAAAACCACGAGAAAGAAAAAAAGAGAGAGAGAGAGAGAGAAAATAGTATACTTCAATCTGCATTCAGACTCCATACTTTTTTCTCTGGATATGGACAGCGTTTTCCATCATGAGTCTTTTAGAATTGTCTTGGATCATTGTATTGCTGAGAAGAGCTAAGTCTATCAAAGTTAGTCATTGTACAACATGGCTGTTACTGTATACAATGTTCTCCTGGTTCTGCTCACTTCACTCAGCATCAGTTCATATAAATCTTTCCAAGTTTTTTTCCCCGAAATCCGCCTGTTCATCATTCCTTATAGCACAACAGTATTCCATTACATTCATCTACCACAACTTGTTCAGCCACTCCCCAACTGATGGGCATCCCCTCAATTTCCAATTCTTTGCCACCACAGAAAGAGCTGCTATAAATATTTTTGTACATGTGGGCCCTTTTCCCATTGGTATGATCTCTTTGGGATACAGACCTAGGACAGCTATCACTGGATCAAAGGGTATGCACAGTTTTATAGCCCTTTAGGCATAGTTCCATATGCCCCCAAAATGACTAAAACGTACATACCCTTTGACCCAGAGATCCCATTGTATGTTCCCTACCTAAGGAGATCAAAGACAGAAATGATAGGCCTACATATGTCAAGGTATTTAGGGAAACACCTTTTCTGGTAGCAAATAACTGGAAACAAAGTGGGTACCCACTGACCAGAGAATGGCTGAACAAATTGTGTTGTGAATCTAATGGAACATTATTGTTCCATGTGAAGTGATGAATATGAGGAATTCAGAAACTCATGGGAAGATATATGAAATGATGAAAACTAAAGTAGGTAGAACCAAGAAAATGTATATATATATATATATATATATATATATATATATATATACATACACATACACACACATTATCTATCTATCTATCTATCTATCTATCTATCTATCTATCTATCTATCTATCATCAATTATATAAATGAAAAGGCCAACAACATGGAGCCAAATCCTGTGTTATTATCCGTGGAAAAGAAATGAGAAAATTAAATGCATCCTTTTCTTTTATTTCTTTCAATTTGATATTTTCAATGGACAAAAATTCTATTTTATCTTCCTTTCATGCCCCCCCCCCAACTCCAGTCCCTCCTCAACTCACTTGTCAAGTTGAATTTCCTTGTTTGGGTCTGATTTTGTCATCTCCCCTGCCTATTTAATAAACTCCAGTGGTTCCCTACCGCCTCTAGGACCAAATAAAAAATTCTCTGTTTAGCATTCAAAATCCCTGATCAGCTGCTCCCCTCTTGTCTTTCCAGTTTTCTGACACCTTATTGTACTTGTGCTCCCACGTACTTTTCAATTCAGTGACTGGCTTCTTGATGTTTAATACTCCATCTCCTAACTCTGCACTTTCATTGGTTGCTGCCCCCCCACCCCCAAATTCATGGAATTCTCTCCCTCCTCATCTCCATCTCTTGGACTCTCTGGCTTCCTTTAAGTTCCATCTAAAATCTTACCCTCTACAAGGTAGCCTGATTCCCCTTAATACTAGTGCTTTCCTTCTGTTGATAATCTTCAACTGAACATATATAACACATATGTGTATGCATATATGCAGGCACATATGCATATGGAACATGTATATTTATATGTATTATATGTATTTGTATTTATATGTTGTATATATTGTATATGTTATATATCTATATGAATTGTATGTGTTATGTATGTGTCGTATGTGTTGTGTATGTAGTTTTCCTTTTGTCTCTCTCATTCAGCTTGACACTGTGAGAGCAGAAACTGAGTTTGTTTAGTGTTGTGGGGTTTTTTTTGCCTTCCTTCATAATCTTAGCATTTAGCACAGTACCTAGTATATAATAGGTACTCAATAAGGGCTTATTTGTTTGCTGAATGACTGACAAAATCCTTGTAACAAATATCCTTAGTCAAACAAAACAAAAAATATGTTTCATTCTGTACCCCAAGTCCATCACCTCTCTGCCAGGAGGTGGGTAGTATGTTTCATCATGAGTTCTCTGGAATTGAAATACATTTTTTGTCATGGGAGAAGTGGGGGAATATGGATGTGGAATTTTACATAGCTGTCAGATTCAGTTGGTTTTGTTTGACTGTTTTTCTTTGTTACATCATCATGTTATGGGTAAGGAGGGAATAATTTTTAGAAATAACTAAAGTAAAAACAAGAGGCATTGATTTTAAAAAGCCTCTTTTTTACTCGGAGGTCATTCAAAAGCAACAAATAAAAGTAAGTAGATGGAAAGCTATAAACTAGTGTTTGTAGACTGGACTATTGCAGAATGAGTTTTCTAGGAAGGAAGGAAGGAAGGAAGGAAGGAAGGAAGGAAGGAAGGAAGGAAGGAAGGAAGGAAGGAAGGAAGGGAGGAAGGGAGGAAGGAAGGAAGAATGATTTGTTTGCTTTGTACCAAGCACTGTGCTAGTGGTCTGGGAAGTCACAGGCTATAAGTGGCACTAGAGGGCAGTCTCCAGCCATGTCCTTTTCAGTGACAGTGATAGCATTTATTTGATTACTCTTTCCAGAGGAAGAGCAAGAAGTGAAATGCAGGGTTGAAGGTAAGTTTTGAACACTGAGGAAGACCAGATAGCAAGATGCCCACATAAGCTCAGGCTTGCTAGTAGGTTGTTGGTTCAGAGGCAGAAAAAAAGAGCCAGGTGAGACCTGGGGTAATCTTTTTTCTAAGTAGGTGCAGAGAGGTCTGTTGTTTCTGGGTAACTTTTCCTGGTATCTCAGTATTTTCATGTCTTGTGTATATCTTCGGGGAAATCTTTTGTGTCAGACTGTGCTGCATTTTGTTGTTGTTCAGTCATTTTAAGTTGTGTCTGACCCCATTTGGGGTTTTCTTGTCAAAGATGCTGGAATGGTTTGCCATTTCCTTCTCCAGCTCAATTTATGGAAGAGGAAACTAAGGCAAACAGGGTTTAAGTGACTTGCCTAGAGTCAAACAGCTAGCAAGTGTCTGAGACCAGATTTGAACTCAGAAAGATAAGTCTTCTTGACTCCAGGCCCAGCACTATCTTGAGCATAGGAAAAACAAAAAATGTCAGAGAATATATCATAAGGTCAGCATTAGGGGCATTCTTCCATCAGCTTCTGGTCCTTTCTCTATCTTTCTGTATGCTTTTCATTCTACCCGCTTCTGTCTTTTTCAGCAGGTTATACCCTCAATAATCACCCACCTGCCCAAATCTTTAACCTTTCTTTGTCTCCTGGTTCCTTCAATATTGCCTTCAGCTATACACATCTCCTCCATCCTTAAAAAAAAACAAAAACAAAAAAAACAAAAAAAACCTGTGTGATCCTGGGCAAGTCACTTAATCCTTTTTGCCTCAGTTTCCTCTTCTATAAAATGAGCTGGAGAAGAAAATGACAAACCACTCCAATATCTTTGCCAAGAAAACCCCAAATGGGGTCAGACACAACTTAAAATGACCAAACAACAACCTTCACCAGACCTCATTATCACCTCAAACAATTGTCCTAGACCCTCTCTTTTCTCAGCAAAACTCCAAGCAAAAGTCAGCACTGATTGCCTTCATTTTCTCTCTTCTCAGCCCTTTGCAATTTGGCTTCTGACTTCATCAACCACCTGAGATTGTTGTCTCTGGAGTTACAGTGATCTATTAATTGCCAAATCTTAGTCTTCATTCTTCCTGATCTATCTCTTGCATTTGACACTATTGAGCACCTTTTCTTCCTGGGTAAACTTTTCTTGTCTATTCATAATACAACTCACCCTCCTACCAGTGTAACTGCTCCTTTTGTCTGTTGCTGGCTTATTTATATTCTACCTTCTAACTGTGGGTTTCCCCCCAAGGTTCTCTACTGGGCCCTTTTCTCTTCTCTTAGAGTCCTCATTAGTTTCCATGTATGTCTAGCCCAGGAACCCAGGTGGGCAGTCTGGGTTACCAGCGATAGGGCTTAGCTGTGCAGAAATCTAGTGACTATAGCAAATCTCCCCAGCTAGGAAATCACTGGATAGGATGCAGTACCAGGTTATGGCCTGTTTAGGGATGGCAGGTGGAAAGACATGAATGGATGAACTTGACTGAAGCATATGGGTGAGGTTAAAGGCAGATTTTGACATACCCTTAATGCAAGGAAAGATCTGGAACTTCAGGGTAGTTTGACATTTTTCTGGGCAGCCAGAATTCTCTCTGTCACAGCCACAAGGAATCTTTTTACTTGCCTTAGACCATCCAACCTAGCTGAAGGGAAGAACCTATTAGCTGTCTACTTCTCTACCAGTTTACTTTGGC